TTTATGATAGTCACAATTGATTAATTTATAAAAAAAACAATTCAAAATGACTGATGTTTGCATGTTCTGTTTGTTACTTTTTTTTTTGTCAGTGCTTGATTTTGGTTTAAACTACTATTGCGGAGCAAAGATACTTAGCAAAAAGATATAACTTTGTAATAATCTTTAAGAATGCTGGTATAATTACCTAAATAAATAAAAAAAACACCCGTCACTGATACATGTTCAAAAAAGATAGGGTTCATTTATTAAGTTTTTTTTTGCTTTTTTCTGTTCCATGTGTGATTCCATTAAAAAAATTAATTTATTCTATAATGAAGCAACCCATACAGGCTTGGACAGGAATGGCGTGCGATTAAGCGCTATTGATGACTGCATAATGGTTTTTTTTTTTATAACTTGACCACAACTGTTTATATGTTTTAGAAATGATTTTAGAAATGCTTTGAAAAAAGAAAGTTAAACTTATACTAGGAAGAAAATAAATAAAAAAGAAAAAAAGAAAGAAAAAAGAAAACAATTACTTACAAAAAAAAAATATGTAAGCACTAAAATAGAACACAAAAAATTTAAACTCAAAACAAAAATTTCTTTTTGCTATATTTTTAATTGCGTTTGAAATAAATTACTTTAAAACTTATCTTTTCGAAACGTCTTATTAAAGTTACACAAAATGATTTTACAAATTACTTTTAATTATTGCTTAATGAATAAACAAATTTTATTTAAACTATTAAAAAGTGTTTTATATATTATTTTTAAAAAGTACAAATATTTATTTTTTTCAAAAAATTGCGAGAAAAAAAATTGTTTGAAGAAATATTGTAGTCTTTTTAAAATAGTAACTTTTAATCATTTCATGCTCTGATTAGTAAGTCAAGTTAAAAAAAAAAGTTTCGACAATTCTTTTTAAAAATAGAAACAAAAAAAATAATAATGCAATTAAATCTTTCATTCCAACGGGAATATAATTTAAATTATAATTTAAAGTAACTTTAATCGAAAAATAATTTCAAACATTTAAATTTATTATAAAAAATATATACCTACATAAAAAAAGTTGAATATAACATTTTTTGTTAACTTACACAAAACGTGTTTATTTTAAACAATCGTTATAACTAACTTTTCATTTTATTTAAAACCTTTTGCTAAATAAAAGCTTCAGAAAAGATCAACAATTAAAAGTTTTTTTATTGCATTCAAATTGTTTAAAACATTAAAAAAACCATGGTGAAATCGTAAAGAAATAAAATTAGTAGTATAAAATTAAAGTGTGGTCAGTTACAGCATGCGATTCCTGTCTAAGCCTGCCATAAAATTATAAGTGTAGTCAGTTACAGCAGTAACTGACCACACTTTAATTTTATGGCATTAATGGTAATTTTACTTGTAGTTTTATATAAAACATTTTCAGGTCAGTATATTTGACTTTTTTTATATGGACACCACCTGCTGATACATTGATGTTCCAAACTGCTTATGCATATTCTAAATATAGTAAAACCAATGGAAAAAAAGTTTGATAATTTTTTTATCTACCTATTTAAAAAAGTATTCTGTGTCCAAGTTTCTTATTTGTTTTGTTAAATTATATGATCATTCATTCATATAATTTAACTCAACTTTATTCAAATTTAACTGATTACACTTCCATTTATAAAGGTTTAAAAATTTTGATTAATTTGATTGGATGATTCTTAGTTAAGGTTTATAAAGTCAAAACCATTAAATAGTTTATGCAATTGTATGGAGTCTTTATTTATGAATTACAAATGTGATCTTTTCCTTCTATCTTCCAATAAAACAAAAAATATAATTAAAAAAAATGACTAAGTAAATGTTATAACTTATTGTACTTTTTGTTTCTTAGCCTCTTACTTTTTTTATAGAATTTTAATTCTTCATTGAAATTTTGTTGAAATTTGTTGAAATTTTGTTGTCTTAATTTCGTATGTTTATTGACATTTTATTAAAACTTTTTTCTTTTTTCATCATCATGAAAAAAGAAGATGGATCTCACAAAAAAGATCAAAAAATATTATCTATTGTAATACCTTACCATAATGTAATTATGAGCAATTAAAGGAAGTATTATTAAGATAGAGAAATGTTGCAATTCTTTTGACACAGCATAAAAAAAAAAAGTTAACAGAATTTGAGGGGAAAAAAAAGTTCTTTGTAATCAATGATTTTTAACTTAGTTAAAAATTTTTAACATAAGTTATCATTACAATTTATTTAGTTAAATAAAGGTGATATAAATCTCTTAATTCAGCTATAACAAGAGAACCTCTTTAATAAGTGGACAATAAAATGAGAGTAGATCCAATATTAACAATTTTCTAATATAAACAACATTGTATGAATGTTTGCCAGTAAATATTCTTAAACATGAAATTATACAGAATTTCTCAGCAAATACATACAATAAATAAAAAAATAACAAAATAAGATTTAAAAAATAATGAAAAGAATTACAAAAGTATTGCACAAAGTTAAAATTTCTACCCTCCCCCTCTAATTTTTTTTCAAATATTAACCTGCATATTACTAAAACATGAAAAATTCCTATGGGATACTAATTTTCACATTTTATGTTTGTTGTCAATAAATTTCACTAATTTATTGACAACAAACATAAAAGTAACTTTTCACATCTCTTTGTGATGTCAGGTGCGATATATAAACCCTCAAAAATTTTTTAATTTTAAACTAGTTACTGAGTCTTACTTGGAAATTCAGTTTTTCAGTCATGGCAAACAGTTTAGCTAGTGATCGATTATAACTGAACTATAAAGTGAATGTCATCTGACAACATATGATTACTTCATTATGAAGATATTCATAACAATATTGAAGATATTCCTGATAATGAAAGAAAAATATTTTTGATAGGACTGGGCTAATAATGTTAAATTAAAAACTCATTTCCATCTTTAATATATATTTTTTAAGAAGCATAATTTAACTAAATGATCACATTGTTGCATAATAATCATAATAAAGCTAAGAAAGCTATTTATATCAATAATAATTTTTGGCATAATTAAAAATAATAAGATTTTTTGTTCTATTAAATGTTCAATTTTTTTCAACCATTTTAATCTATGTTAGTGCAGATTAAAACACCAGACCACTTTTAACTTTATAAGGATTTGTTAACATTTTTATAGATATCAATAAAAAAGAGTTTCTTAATTTTATAGACAGTCAGTTTATTTTATTTTACAGACAAAATAAACACATATTTAAAAAATTGATTTACAACATTAAGATAAAATTTCCTAATCTTAAAATTGGACTCTCCAAACATTGCAATCTTTGGCCTTTGGTGCATACTTGCTGGTTCAAAAGATACATATTCTGTTTTTGTGCATGCAATACATCAAAATGTGAAATTGGTGTTGAGTGTTCTCGGCCTTGAAAAGTCTTTTCATGAAATTATTTAAGTTATTGCTTGCAGCAAAAATAAAAAATTTTTGCAGAAAAATCAAAAGTAAAAATGAAAAGTAAAATAACTTTTTTACTGATCAACTGTCCAGGCATAAAAGCTGTCCAAAATTTCATATAACAGTATCAACACAAAATAAAAAGTCAACAATTGATTATAAACAGTGGAAAACAACAGATAGAAGTCTTTATTAGATGAATCTATAGAGCTTATGTGTAAAAAGATTGTTAAAACTACTTTTTATTAATTTATTAAAAAATCACAATCAAGCCATAGAAAACATCTCAAAGATACAACTACTCTTGATGAGGAAATTGTCCTAACAGATTTTGCAAAGACTTACAATTTTGCAGTACAAGACAAGATACAGAATTTCCATTTATGATCTACTAAATGTAGGTTTTTTGTTTTCGTTTTTGTAATTTCAGATAATTTAAACCATGTTTTAGAAACTATCAATGAGTTATGCATGAAAACATTAATCGTATAATTTTTGGCTCACAATTTCATTAAGAAAAAATATTTTTTTAATGCCTTTGCAGGACAGCATAAAAAAACTGCAAAAATGTTTACAATTTATGTTACCATGCTTAAAATTTTTTAGTTAATCCCAAATTTATTTGCAACAAGCTGCAGCAAAGAGTCCAACCACAAATCAAATATTGTCTGCTGAAGTCATGTTTAAATATTGTTAAAATATTACAAAGATTAATTACTGTCAAAAAGAAAGAGTAGAAATTTTTAAAATTCTGATGGGCTATACCTTATTTACATATAATTGCATTATACTTACATTATATAAGATATTTTTTTTCACTAAAAAAAATTTCTTACTAATTGTGATTAGGCAACTTTAAGAATAAGTTAGAGTGTAACCTATAGTAACAGAACAAAAAACTCATCTTGACAATTTAAAATCAAAATATAATGAAACTTTTTTAATTATTTTTATCGTCATCTTAGGATTCAGCAATTTCAAAAATGGTCAGGTATCAATTTTTCTAATAGAACTTTAATTAAACAGGCCCCCAAAAAAATTTTTTTTTGAGTATTTGTCATTTTGATTTTAAATATATATCCCATTTTTTTACCATAATGTCAAGTTATAAAGATAGAGATGTGAGAAAGTATTGCTAAAAGGCAGAATGTGAGTCCAAATAGGGAGATTTAGGTCTGAATTTCTAAACAAGATATTTATATTATGCTTCAAGAGATCAATATACGTTATATTAAAATTGGCCTAACATCTCCACATATATATAAAAAATTTTAATATTTATGAAAAAGTATTAAAGACTGTTTAAAGATTTTGCATTTATTTACTGATTAAAATCTGAGGTGGAATGGCTCTTTTCTTTTTACATAGAATTACATCACATTATAATAAAGCGTTAAAAAGTGTGTAAAATACTATTCTTTAATATATAAATTCTCTATTTATAAAATCATTCATAAAAATAGAGATAACAAGTAAACTTACACACATTCAAATTTAAATTAAATTGAAAATTAAGTTTAAAAGAATTAATAAATTATGAAAACTTACTTTAAGTTCCGGAAGATTTAGCTTGTAATTCAAAGAAAGTCCTTGATTTTCGGTTTTTAACTTCAATGCCTCAAATGTTTGTTGTGGTGTTTTATCACCTGGAGCAGATATCAACCAAAATTCAGATGCCATTTTAAATCTTATCCTTATTCTAGAAACATAGTTTTTATGACACAACCTGATCGAGAATATGAACCAAATTTACTTAATATACATTCATCACGTGTTAAAAAATTATAATAATTTTGAATATTATTAACAACAAGTATAGCAAAAAAAAAAAAAAAAAAAAAAAAACAGCACCAACGTAGCTGTTGCAACAACAACAATAAAGTAAATAAACTTATAATTTATTAAATACCTAATGGTAATTATTAAATTAATAAATACTAAGTATTTATTAATTTTATAATCATTATATAATTATAAAATTAATAAGTTATTAAGTTATTATATTTTCCAAAAATATTTTTGTTTATTATGCAACGTAATAAACTAAAAAAATTAATTTAAATAATTTAACTTATAAAAAAAAATGATGCTTTATTATCTTATCTTTATCAACAGTTCCAATTTTTCTCGCGTATCAGCCTTACTATTTACATAATATGATCACATTACCGAAAACAACTCGCTCGCGCAAAACAACTCTGCTGGGTTGATTAATCGATTTTTGTTAGGTTTTTCACGCAATTTAAAAAATAACTCGATTCGATTTTCGACTTTACTTCATACCGAAGATAATTTTCTTTTTTCTTTTATCTATTCAACCATAAAGTATAAAGTTTACAGAAATAGAATTATTAGTTTACATATGTAATGTTAAGTCACTTATACAATTAAAAACTTGTCAATGAAGTGACACCTTAAAAAAAAAGGCTTGCGATACTTGATAGTATTAAAAGGAGATGAATGCAATTAGTTTTCGTACTTTGGGTACATACATATATGTATCGCAGTGAAACGTTTAGTTAAAAAAAACCTTGAAACGTTTAGTTAAGAAAATCTTTTTTTTTTTTGAACATTAGATTAAATAGGAGAAAAAGTCAAAAGATCTTAAAATTATAAAAATTTTAAAAAAGCTTTTTTTAAATATTAGATCAAATAGAAGATATTGCACTCAATTATTCCACTCAATTATTTATTTGTGTTTAAAAGACTATAGCTAAGGTATAAAAAAGAACATGGTATTTTAAACTATTCTTAAAGTACTTTTTTTGTCTTTGTTTTTCTCTTTGCTCACTCATAATGTGAGACTATTCTAAAAACAAAATGAGGGGAGGGTGAATCCTAAAAAATAAAGAAAAAAACACCCGATTCAAATTTGTCAAATAACCCGACTATATTACTCAAATATAAGGTGTGTACAAAGTGCACATCTTTTGTGTACAAAGATGATGCAAAAAAACCGGTTTAATTTAAAATTTTGATCTTCCGAAAAATTCGTGAAGGAACTCAAAATACTTTCAAATCAGAGCTTAATTACCTTCACTGAATCTGATCTAGCATTCCATTTTGTTCTTGACAGTGGTTTGACCATACAGGCTGATTTTTTTTCAAGAACACTCGGTCTTTTTGTGGACGATGAAAAATAGTTGTAAATTTGTTGAACGATGCCAGAATAATTTATAGTTATATCAATCATATAATCAATAGTTTTCAAAAAAAATTTTATATCAGTCACAATAGCTTTCAGAACATTTTTTGCCATTAAAGAAACCAATTCATTGCAAACTGTCTTAGACAAATATGAAGTTTTTCCTGAATCAAGTTGACAGTAACGTCTAATGTTTTCTAATAGGAATGGATCAAAATTTTCAATCAGTTTAAGAAGTCCAAGGAAATTTCAATTAAATGCTCTCCAAAAATTTCGTTGAAACCTCTAAATGCCAGATTTTTTCAACCAAAGTACAAATCACACGCTAAAAACCGTTTGGTCTTGAAAAGCGTGCCATCTCACTCGGTTCCTGACCACGCATATAATATTTAGTTGCCGCAACTTGACCACGGCATATATATATATATATATATATATATATATATATATATATATATATATATATATATATATATATATATATATATATATATATATATATATATATATATATATATATATATATATATATATATATATATCAATCAATCAATCAATCAATCAATCAATTATATATTTTGGAAAAAAGATCTAACTTCCACGGTCGTTACAAATACATTAAAACTAATATAAAGTAAAAACCTCTTTGATGACATAAAACATATTATAGACGCATAGTTATAGTTATAATAAAAATAGCAATAAATTAACAAAACAACAATAAAAGTAATTGATTGTATAATAATAAGAATAAGAATAATAATAATAATAATAGTACCAGTAAGTATAATTAACACCCCATAATAATGAATAAAATAAAAATATGATAATAATAAATACAACACATATATAACGGAATTGTTAAATAAATATTTAATAGAAGGCTGTTCATTAAATACGTCAAAAAAAATTATAAAAACTAAAAGAATTAAAGCAATACAATCTTCCATACAACAATCAATTATATATACATCGTTACAGTTACAAACAGTAATAAACTGACAAAACGTAACTAATAACGATGACATAAAAACGATTATCGATAAAAGAATACAAAGACTTGATAAATATAATAATTTTAGTTTTTATAATATAATAACAAAAATATATTTTAAGTATAACAAACAAATAAAGAAAATATAAACAGAAAAACACTTATTATACATAAAACTAAGGTTAATAAAAGTAAAAAATGCATTAAATGCATACACAAAAATACATGACGTATAAATATAACAATAAAAAGACACATTAATATAAACAATGTATCCATTAAACAAAATATAAAAGTTTTTTCTTGTTCTTTTTTTTTAATGATATTGTTTCTGGTAGACTAACGTAATTCATTTCGTATTTTTTTTTTTTTTTTTTTTTTACTTTACATTTTCGAACTATTTTTTCATTTACCGAATCTTTTTTTTCTATTTGGTACGTTATTTTGACTTGCTTTATTTGTTTATATCTTTGACTTGCTTTATTTGTTTATATCTTTATTTGTTTATATCTTTTGATCTTGTTTTTACTTCATTTTGTTTTATAACTTGATATTTTTTAAAATGGTATTTTAATTTTTTTTTCTCCATTTTATTTCTTTCCTTTTTTACGGTTAAATAAAAACATCCTCCATTTGCGATGTCATTCCAAAGAATCATTATTTGATTATTTGAAAAAAAAGATTATTTGAAAAAATACAACTTTGTGATGGAACTTAAAGTTTCATGCCCTTCGGCAATCATCAGCCATATTTTATTCTTTAAATTAAGAAAAAACCGTTAAAAAATTTAAAAATTTCAAAATACAGAAATTAACAGAAAAAAACCATAACAAAGCAATGGTTCTGACGTCAAAACAAACAGTTTTATAATTAATTAAAAAATTGCTCAATCACCCGTGTCGAATATGGCGAAAAGGAACTTGTTTCGATGCCGGCACTTGGATATCATTTCACATATTTCGTTTAGCAGATTTTTATTTTTGGAAAATAGAATTTCATATTTTTCGTATGTGCATAGTTTGCAGGACTTCGTCGTTGGGTTGTTAGCATTGCACTGCTTAATTATTTTCTATTTGACGACTGGGTTTAAGTTGGCATCTTTTAATTTCCAAAATTCTTTCGATAATTCGGTGTCATTTTTGTATTTTAGAATGTTAAATGATTTTATATGGTTGGCATATCTAATTTTGAATGGTGTTTCACTTATACCGATGTAGGATTTGTTGACAGGAGTGTTAGTAGGATTATTGGAACTTATATTGGCTTGGTATACAATGTTTTTTGTTAAGCATTGGTTTGATAAAGGGCAGGTATTTTTATTAATGCTATTGCAGTTGGTTTTAGGTAGAATTCCTACAATAGTGCTAACATTTTTGCTGAAAGGAGGGTTGAACCATATGATGTTTCGTTTACGGTTTTTGGTATGTGGTAAATTTAAATTAGGGTGATATGAAAGTTTGTGATTAAAACCGGATCTTAATAGTGCGTCATTGTACATAGAAGTAGAAGGAAGATTTTGCAGACAATCTTAACTCAATTGAATGCGCAAGCTGTTTTAAAATATTAGGCGGGCGGTTTGAATCAGCGTGAATATAGTTTATAGAACCCCCTGGCTTCGGATCTGTTGAAAAGTGTTGTTGTTAAGATTAAATGTGACGTCAAGATAATTTATAATTTTCATGTTGCACTGTATTGATATAGTGAGTTCGTTTTTTTTAAATATTTTAACAAAATGTCTTTTGATTTTTTCCATTTGGGGACCACTCGTTTTTTTAAAAACTGCTAAACCATCATCGCGGTACAATCGAAAATCATTTTTATCATAAAACTGTGAAATTTGAAACAAAATATAAATTCCCACAAGATCACAAAGTTCAGCACCATCGAATGCTCCCATTGAAACATCGAATAAACCGCTTGATTTTATATATATATATATATATATATATATATATATATATATATATATATATATATATATATATATATATATATATATATATATATATATATATATATATATATATATATATATATATATATAATGCAAATACTCAAAGAGATACGTAGGTGAAATAAAACTTCTTGTTAGTACTACTCGAACTCAACCACATCTAAAAAGTTTAAACGAGGGGAAACATTATCAGTTTGCAATAGCCACCCAAAATAAGTTTTGTTTATAAGAAGTGAGAAAATGTAAAAAAAATTAAAGCGGAAACAAAAAAATTTGATCGAAAAGTGTGTGAAGCTCTTAAAATACAGAGATACCAATGTTCAACTTTAAATGGTGGAATTAATTTAGATAACGGGCAGTTTGTGAAAATTAAATTTTAGACTTCGTTTTTTAAGTAAACAACGAAGAAGCAAGGTTCCCACCAGGTTCAATTCTTGGACCTCTTCTTTTTTTAATTTATATAAATGACTTAAATAAAACTTCAAAACTAACAAGCATTGTGTATGCAGATGATACAAATTTATTCCTTTCTAACTATAATATCAATGAACTTTTTAAAACTGTGAACGAAGAACTCAGACATATATCTAATTGGTTCAAGTGTAATAAGTTAACCTTGAATACTAATAAAACAAAATGGGTTTTATTTCATTCGATTATAAAAAAGCGAATTCTCCCATCAAAATTACCTCAAACCTTTATCGATCAAAAGCAAATAAAAAGAGATTTTGTTACAAAATTTTTAGGTGTTTATCTTGATGAAAACATTACTTGGAATCACCATATTGATTATATATGCACAAAAATTTCTAAAAACATGGGCATCCTATATAAATCACGAATCTATCTCAAAAAGAAAGTCTTAATCCAACTTTATTATTCATTTATACATAGTTATTTAAAGTTTGCCAACATTGCTTGGGGAAGTACAGAAAAAAGTAAGTTGCAACGTCTTTATCTCCGTCAGAAACGCGCAATCCGTATAATCAATTTTGCAAATCACCTCTCTCATTCAAAGCATTATTTTATTGAAATGAGAATTCTGAATATTTACGAGTTAAATGTATTTAATATTTTATGTTTTGTGTATATTTGGATAAATAACTTATCCCTAAGATCTTTTCTCTTTTAAACCAGTCAGTAAATATATTTTGAGAAATAATAACTTTTTAAATGAGCCTTTCTGTCAAACAAACTTTAATCAATTTTGTATTACCTATCGAGCGCACACCTTTGGAATAAAATTGTTTTCAACGAATTTTAATTTTGAAGTACCTATTACTCTTTGCCTTATTAAAAAAAAAACTGAAAAACCTCATTCTTTCATCAGATAATATATTGAGTTATTATTAGTAATAAAAATTAAAAATATATTTTGGTCTAATTTTTTTTTTTTTGTTTATAGAAGTTTTTTTTTTATAGAAGTTTATTCCTACTTATTTTAGTTATTGTTCTTATACTTTTTACTTTTTAATTTATATGTTGGTTTACTCTTGTATAAAAATGTGATGAGAAGATCCTCTTGATCTTTCTTCAGACACAGATTGTTTGCCTTGCAATTTTGTCAAAGTTAATTAATTTTTTTTTTAATCTTATATTTGTTAAATGCTTTTTTAAGGTTCTGACGATAAGATCCTTGCGATCTTCTTTCAGATACTTTGTTTATGTTTGTTATGTTTTATGCCATTGTAAGTTTATATTATTATTTTTATTATGGGCTGTACAACGATTAACATATGTAAGTGTTAAATGCTTTTTTAAGGTTCTGACGATAAGATCCTTGCGATCTTCTTTCAGATACTTTGTTTATGTTTGTTATGTTTTATGCCATTGTAAGTTTATATTATTATTTTTATTATGGGCTGTACAACGATTAACATATGTAAACCAAAAAAAAAAAAGCCACTTAACTGCTGACGTCAGTTAATTTTAAACTGATTCTAACGTTACAAAAAATTGTGTATGTGTATAATTTTTACGAGCTGATGATGCTGGTAACCATAATTCAGCGAAAATTTCTAATACTAAATTATTAATTGTATTAAGAGAATTCGTATTATTTAATGTTTTCTTACTAATAAAATATATACTTATACACGATGTCAACATACCATCTAGTGAAAAGGAGCAAGGGGGCAGTTTTTAAGTTCTTTTGATTCTGTGAATCCAGATTATTTAGTTAGAAGGAGAAGGCAAGTTTTTCATGTTTATAAATTGGATTATTTAGTTAAGGAGGCTATTTTGATTCGTCATTTATTTCACTAATTTTGGTTTTCCAAAATATCACATCAGAATGAAGTCCCTGCTTAGAAGAAGCTCAAACAAACTACTTACCTTAAGGGAATTATCACCACAACTTTGTATTATATTGCAATAAGAAGCTCTCAACTTAATTACAATGCTGAAGAGGTTCATCCTTTGGCTATAATTGAAAAACCGGCTTTTTGTCAACTACTTTGTGGGTTTAATCCAAAGGTAATGCATTATGTGCAAGATTTTTAACAAACTTTCAAATTTAAAGCTTTCTAAGATCCATGAAAAAATAAAAAACAAACTGAAAAAAGCATCATTTGTTTGCACAACTGTTGATATTTGGATCGTCAATAGAAAAAGTTGTCTTGGCATAACTGCGCACCATATTGAAATGCTTTAAGATGATTCTAGTTCGGTTTCACAAGCATCTGTATTCCTTGGTTGCCGTCGATTTTATTGTAGTTACAGATACGGCACAACTTTGCAATGATTTCTAAAAATCATTGTCAATATGACATTGACGTAAAAAAAATCTTGGAAAAGTTTAGAGAAGTTTTTGCAGAGTCAACTACAAGTGCAGCAGCAATTAATGTGACTGCTACATCTAATGCGTCTGAAGAGCAAAAGGACATGGAAGAAGATGAAGATAATGAGGATGAAGAACTCAAGAAGAAGTAAAGCATCAGGTGTCAAATATTACAGACAAAGTAATACTCGCCCCGTGTTAACACCTAGGAATTCTTAATACAATGTTATCAAGCGGTTGCTTGAAATACTTGACAAACTGTATGATACATTTGATGCTTTGAATGCACTAAGTTTTAAAAAGCAAGAATTAGAATGCCTCTAAGAATATGCCGTATTCATGAAGTATATGAATGATAAAAATATTTGAATGTTGTTGTATGTGAATAATAAAAATATTTGAATGCTATAAATAAGTATAAGAACATTTTATCACTATGGTATAATCAAACGGGTTGAGAATGATTTTGGACACAAAAGACTGCAACGAAGTGGTCGTGTGGCCAAAATCATGACTCTCAAGGTGATTAAGCATCTGAGAACCATATTTGACTATAGTGATCGAGTTTGTATAAGGCTAGCCGGTCGAAAATTTGGATGCAGTCATTCACATATCATTAAAACTCTTGCAAAGTACACTGACATCAAAACTTACACAAAATAGGCTTTACCTGATTGATAAGAGAGCCAGATTGAGAGAATCAAGACCGGCATTGATTGTTTTTATCACAATTTTTAATGAAAATTGGTCATCCTTGACGAGGAGTCTTACTTTACGCTGTCGCACTCCACCATGAATGTTAGCAGCTACTACTCTAGCGACAGAGACAAGACTCCACCGAGAGTTAAATTTTGCAAAAAGCGAGAGTTAAATTTTGCAAAAAAGTTTGAATCCAAACTGCTCATCTGGCTGGCTGCTTCTGACAATAGTATTTCCGACATTTTTCATCCCCAGCAGCCTTGTAGTCAATAAAGCCATCTACGAAATGAATTGTATTAAGAGAGGATTATTGCCGTTTATCAATGATCATTCCAATGGTAACTACGAATTTTGCCCAAACCTGGCCTGATCGCATTATGCCAAAACTGTGACCAACTGCTATGGGACTCATAACATCAATTTTATCAAAAAAGTTGACAATCCGCTAGCTGTACCGGAGTAATTTTTAGGCTATTTTGAAAGGTAAAGTATATGAGGGTAACTGGCAAGCAAAAAACTTAACGCAACTACAAATCAGAATAAATCTTTGTCTGAAATAAATCTACAAATCAGAATAAATCTTTGTCTTTTTTGGGTCAACTCGTCTTTGAATTGGTCGAATCCGAAGAAACAGACTGGTTGCAGACAAACTCAATTAAAACAAATAACTAAAAACTCTATTTAATGTTATTTTTATTTAATCTCTACCTTAAAAACGATGGTAGTAATGACCCATGAAAGTATGTCCGGATTTCTAGTAACCACCCGATATCGTACCATCGTCGGATCGAGTCGAACGATTATTTTGCAGCGCATATATATATATATATATATATATATATATATATATATATATATATATATATATATATATATATATATATATATATATATATATATATAGAACTATGAAATAGTGATAGTAGCACGACGATTTACGTCTTGAAGATAGGAATTATTTTAGCTATTTAAGTCAATCTGGAAACCACTTTGTATATATGAAAAATCGTAAACCTTAGCAATAATATATAAAAAATTTTGTAGAATATGAAATAAACCATAATATTAAATACAATAATATAAAACTGATTCTAAGAACTTTTTTTTACAATTTGTTAAAAGATCACACTGTTAATTACAAATTAAAAAATTTTATTTTTTTAAAAAAACTTATTCAAACTGCAAATATTTCTAACATTGTATATAATATAAAAATGATTGCAACTACAATTCTAAGAAAAACATTTTGTGCCGTTTCATTAACTCAGTTTAATTATTTATTTGAACTTTATTTTCAAATTTTGTTTGGATATTAAATAATATTCAAATTTTGTTTGGATAGCGTTTAATACTTTGTCGAATAAACGTTGAATATGATACAAAGTAAAATTCTTAGAATGCTGATTTTTTAAAATTTTTAAATATTTCATTGTTAAGTTGACAACTGAAGACCTCGTGTCATTAAGCAAGCAAAAACTGTCAGCACCATTTTAGGCTTCACTTCCATTAAATCTTCAGCAATTGCGTAAGTTCGTGCGCCAATTTTCCTACACATGGAAATTGCATAATGAGCGTTCAATTTCTGCTCCTAAATGTTACCAATATATATAAAAAAGTATATAAATATCTGTATATACTTTTTTAATTAAAGAAACATACAAACAATAAGTAGCAAGTAAAAAAAAATCTTCACGGTGTGTTAAGTTGTAATAAACAAAATTTGTTCTTTATTAAGTATTTATCATCTCTATTTTATACATATTTAAAAAAAAAAAAATTAAAAAAAAAAAGGTCAAACCTCTTTACTTTCTCCCTTAGTTACTAAATTGTACTGAATAGAGTTAGGCTTAATAGAGTCAACAAGATCGATTACAGCATGACTAGTAGCTATTGATGGGTCTTTAAAAGAATTAATTAAATTTCTTTTTCCAGCAGTTCGCAGCTAGAACAAGATAAAATTATGCAAAAATGTAGCATACATTGCAGTACGCCAATTTAATGAACAGAAACAAGAAAAAAATTACCTTCTTATTAACCCACTCGATAATCTCTGATTCTTTTACAATATCTCCTGTTTTTGTTAGCTTGCTAAGCATACAAATTGTATAATCTCGCAACATTTGCCAAACCAATGCTGTAAAAGGTTATACATGCATTTAAAAAATGATACAGATATAAACCATGACAAGGATACGTCTGCATGGCACAAATATATGACAAGAATACAACTTCATAATAGATATTTGAAAAGAATACAATATAGTTGATAAAGAGATGATACAAGAAAATACTAATAACAATATGATATCAAAAATGTACAATATACTCATATTATAGACAAAAGATACAGATTTAAATATGTTATCCTGCATAAAAAAGAACCATGATAGTATAGCAATACACATGGTAATGAAATCATAATACAATTAGAAAGTTTAACATAAAGTAACTCACCTAAAATTAATGTGTTATTTCCATTATGAATGTCTTCTCCTCCAATACCAACCAAAGAATACTTATTTGCTTTTCCTAACTCAATCACATAATTACAATTCTCTACCTTCTTCATTTTTCCACCAGCAACTTTAAAGGGTGCTTTGTTAACTCTACTCCAATCAACAGTATTTCTTCTTATTGTGTCATACAACTTAAAAAAACATTTAAAATTTAAAATTTTGGTCTAAAAATGACTTATATTTATTCTTTATTTAAAATTAAACGTACCTGAAATAAAACAATTCCACTTGAAAGATCATTATATAAGTGATATACATATGGAGTAACACCCATGCTGTTCATCCAACTTCGATAAGCTAATAAAATAAAGTCATAATGCAATTAACAGCAAAAAATCTAGCATCCTCAAAAATAAGTAGCCTTGTGAATGTGAGCACACTAATAAAAAAATTATGTACCTGTGAGCCAACTTGTCTTAACTCCATTTTTGGGTAAAATGAGTTATATACATATCTGAAATCTCCATCACATAAAAAACTAACTAATCATACATATAGAATATTATAAACTGTACATAGTGTATGAATTTTAATTTCCTAAAGTGATTATTAAAAAAGTTATGAGAGAACAAGTGGAAAAAAATCTTTATTTTGCTCCTACAGTAAAACTGTGTTTTTGGAGTTAAAACAAGTTGGCTCTTAGGCACAGAATTAAGAGTATGTATGTATATATGTATGTATGTATGTATGTATGTATGTATGTATGTATGTATGTATGTATGTATGTATGTATGTATGTATGTATGTATGTATGTATGTATGCATATACGTAGGTACGAAGGTATGTACGTATGTATGTATGCATGTTTGTATGTATGTATGTATGTATGTATGTATGTATGTATGTATGTATGTATGTATGTATGTATGTATGCATGTATGCATGTATGCATGTATGCATGTATGCATGTATGCATGTATGCATGTATGCATGTATGCATGTATGCATGTATGTATGTATGTATTTATGTATGTATGTATGTATGTATGTATGTATGTATGTTTCGAGGATTCCAGGTCAAGCCTCACTCTTCTCCATGGTTTCCTCACATTGTGCTGCTGCTATTGCTAATCGAAACCATTACTTCCATATCTATCAGCAAAACAATTCTCCAGAAAATAGACGTCTGTTTATTACTGCTAGGAACCATTGTAAAAAGGTTTTGTCTAACGCCAAAGCCCGCTATTCTCAGATCATGAAATCTCGTATTTCATCACAAAAATTAGGCTCTCGTGACTTCTGGAGAATCTTTAATAGTATCAATAATAAGGCCAAGTATGTAATTCCATCTCTTTTGTATGATTCAGACTTTGTCACCTCACCTAAAGACAAAGCTGAATCGTTTGCCAAGAACTTTTCATCAATATCATCTCTTGATGCCACTAGTTGCGTTCTACCTGATATAGCCGTCAAACAGGTTGATCCATTGCTCCACATTTATATCACTCCAGCTTCTGTATCTAAAGTGATTTCCCACTTAGACTCTTCTACAGCTTGCGGCCCAGACAACATACCTGTTATAGTCTTGCAGAAGTGTTCTCCCGAGCTGTCGCCTATCCTTTCAAATCTATTTAACAAGTGCTTATCAGAGTCTTGTTTTCCAGCCTGCTGGAAAGCAGCATCTGTTATCCCTATTTTTAAAAATTGGGGTTCCCCAAGGTTCAATCCTTGGCCCTATACTCTTTTTAATTTACATTAACGATCTTCCAGATTTTCTCACATCTAAGGTGGCATTGTTCGCTGATGATACTACCATTTATTCTTGTCACGATAAGAAGCCAACTCCCTCTGATTGTTTGCAGGGGGCATCTGAGCTTAAAAAGGATCTCACTTCTGCTACAGCATGGGGCTCACAGTGGCTGGTGAACTTTAATTCAGATAAAACTCAATTTTTTTCGGCCAATCGATATCGCAATAATTTAGACCTTTCTATAATTATGGACGGTAATGTACTCAATGAGTCTCCTACCCTTCATCTTCTAGGATTAACTCTTACTTCTGATCTTTCTTGAAAACCTTATATCAAATCCGTTGCAAAATTAGCATCTGCTAAAGTTGCTTCTCTTTATCGAGCTTGTCACTTTCTTACTCTGGATTCTATTCTCTATCTCTATAAATCTCAAATCCGGCCTTGTATGAAATACTGTTGCCATATGTGGGGCGGATCTTCTAATGATGCCCTTTCTCTTTTAGACAAGGTGCAAAAACGCATTGTAAACATAGTTGGACCTGCTCTTGCAGCCAACCTTCAACCTCTGTCACATCGTCGTAATGTTGCTTCTCTTTCTCTTTTCTACAAATACTATAATGAGCACTGCTCTAAAGAGCTAGTGTCTCTTGTGCCATCTACTAAAATTCATTCTCATGTTACTCGTCATTCAATTAAGTCTCATCCTTTTTCTGTTACTGTTCCTAAGTGCTCCAAAAACTCTTATTCGTCTAGTTTTTTTCCTCAAACATCAGTTCTTTGGAATTCGCTTCCTTCATCATGCTTTCCTGATTCATATAATTTGCAATCTTTTAAGTCGTCTGTCAATCGCTATCTTGCTCTAGAATCTTCATCTTTTCTCTTCCAGTAACTTCCAACACTAATTAGTGGTTGCTTGCAGCCTTGTTGGAAGCGAAGATAATTAAAAAAAAAAAAATGTATGTATGAATGTATGTTTTAAAGATGGAATTTAAATAGTTATTTTTGTTTCATTTTCTGCAACAAAAATATATTATGTGTGTAACAACAAAATTTAAATTCTTTAAAATTATTTAAAATTTTATTATTAAAATAAAATTATTAAAATTTATGTTTTTGAAGTTTTTAAATTAATAGTAATAAAAATAAAAGCAACTTTTTTCTTCTCTGGTTTCAACATAGTTTTCAATTTCAACATGTTCAATATCTGATCCATCCAAAGCTGGAAAAACATTAAAAAGATTTGCAACAAAAGCTATATTTAGCTTTGCATTTCCACTTGGAATATCCTAAAAAATTCAATTTGCCTAAGAAAATATTTTCATTTTTTATCTTATAAATAAAAACAAAAATTTGAAGCAAAAAGAAGTGAAATCAGGATGAAGTTAAAAAGAAGGAATAAAAAGAAAGAACTAAAAAGAAATATGTGCAAATATATATATATATATATATATATATATATATATATATATATATATATATATATATATATATATATATATATATATATATATATATACATATATATATATATATATATATATATATATATATATATATATATATATATATATATATATATTATTTTTCTCAATAAAAAACAACTAATTTTAAAATTTTTAATTTAAAATTTTTCATGAAATCTAAAATGCTAGATTAAACTGAGAAAGATTGAAATATATTAAATTGATAAAGAGTAAAGTAATTTTAAATTGAAAAATATATTGAAATTAAATTGAAGAACATTGGAGAACACTGAGAAAAAATAGAATATATTACATTGAAAAAGATTTTAATATAATTTTATGAAAAATAAAATGAAAGATTAAAGTAAGATTACAATATTAGATAACTAATTAAAGTTAGGTGTTCTTACTAAACCGATAGAAAAGTTTTTGTTACAAATATTAAGGTTAATATTTGTACCTACAACTATTAAAGTTAAAAGAGTTAAGAATGTGTTCTTATCGATGTGTAGATGTATAAGGTTAAAAGAGTTGAGAATGTGTTCTTGTTGATGTATTTTTTTTAAAAAGAAGTTCTACAATTAAATAAAAAAATCATACCTTTTTATACTTTTTAAATAGCGATTTTTTTGAATATGAAAATTTGTTAAGAGTCACTCATGCATGAACACACAACATTTAATTGATTTCATTGAAATAAAACTTTTTCTACATATTTTATACCTATTTTTTTATCATTTTGAGAAATTCTTAATTTTTATAATTTGTAATTTTTTTTAATAACTTAACGTATTAACGAACAACACTTTGTTAAAAAAATGTATATTAAATTAAAACCCCTCAATTAAATTCTTGTAGAAATTTCAAATTAGTTAGAAAAATATATGAATGCAAATAAATACAAAATATTGTTTACTTTTAGACATAAAAATAAGAACAACTAAATTTGACAAGTTACCTGATACATTCATAGGTGAAAGACTTTTGGAGTTAAATAACTTTATACAAATCTGCTATTTTATACTATCAAATCTGCCATTTTAAAATTCTGAAACTACAGAAAGTATTTAATTTTAAAAATAAAATTTTGAATCTTCTAAAAAATTTTTGGCCTAACTTGAATCCTGAAGTGATTAAGTCAGCTTTAGTTCTATTCATATTAGTTTTTCTATTTAATTTGAATTTTTTAACTTTAATAATAATTTGTAATTCTTAGGACATGCTTGTAGCAATTTTT